ATTTTGACTTCCCATCCCACTTCGAAAAGGTTCAAGCCGCTGGGTCACAAGTTCCGGGCTTAGCGAAAACACCAGCGAGGCTCGTGCCAAGAAGTGCTGCGCACTCTGCAGTCCTCGCCGCTGACATCTCCGTTAACGGCCGTGCAAGGGTCTCCACCTGTCCAGAGACAGCCGGACTGGGTACCAGCGGATGCTCTCTGAAGTATGCGACCCAGGCGAGCAGGAGGGCGGAACTGGCACGTATTGTGACCCAGACGGTCCGTAAGCTGGAAAAAATGCCGAGCACGCAAAGGAACCTGGTTGTATAACGGTGACGGAACAAAGACGAGAGGAACCGGCCCAGGGGGGTGCTGGCCGCAAACCACAGCAGTGCCCTTCACATCAGACTGCAGTTGGAACCAGTTGGATGGCGGCACGTCGAGCACTCGCACACGAAACCCAGGTCATGTTTGCCGTAATCCCACGTCAATTGTTCACCTTCCTCGATATCCCTCCTGGCCTGGACGCAGATGTGTTTCTTCTGGACGAACTTGGCCAGCCCCTGAGGCCCAATGCGCCAGGAGCAATTGGGTCCCTCCGGTACCTGGGGCTCCTCGGTATTCTTTGGTCGTCGTTGGCTTTTGGGGGTGCAGCAGTGGTTGACGAGTGAGCCGAGTAGGTAAATGCAAGCATTGTGTGGCTGCGTGGCTATTGGTTTGGATTTCCCCGGGAGTCCCCCCTGGCTGTCCTTCCTAGCGTCGAAGGCGTAATGCCGGAAGAAGTTTCGGCATGCTATGCGCTTACTGTGATCCGATGGTTTCTCGGCGGCTTGGATCCTGGCTGTGAACGCTTCGTACTCCTCCCGAGTGATAGTCGAGCCTGCGTAGCGTCCATGAATGAGGAACTTGCCGAGGGTGTTGCCCTGGAGGATGACGTCTGCTTCGTCGAAGGAAGCTGGCTGGACGCCATGACAAGCAGCAAGCAATGGATAGGCGACCCGGAGTTGCCCAAAATGTTCTGGCATAGCGTCGCGGTAAGCCGCGAGCTGACCACGCATCAGGCCCATGTTCTCTGAGTCGGCCTCGTGGAAGAGGGCGCTCATGATAGGAGCCTCGTGGAATATGAATTCATCCTTCTTGAAGTCCCGGGCCGCAAAGAGTCCGTATCCTACAGCGGCACTGACGAACCCGATTCGGACCGCAGACTCATCTTTTGGGGCATTACTGAGAGCCATTTGAGGAAGCTAGCCACATTGTCAGCAAGTCTTCAATTGACGAAGGAGGGGGGGATTGTAACTAAAGGGTAAGAGACAACGGGCCGGGCGTACTTTGCCTTGTTTTGAGGCATCAAAGCCAATGTCTGTTATATCTGTTTGTCGAATATTCGCCATGGATGTCATCCCTCGTCGGTTGTTGTCGGTGGTGAGATTTGAGTCAGAGGTGGCACCCGCATCAGCAGTGAAAAGAAATAGGCCGCGGCTGTGCGAGCCGAGCCCGGGGAAAGAGCCTGTCTCTGTCGTCTCAGAGACAGGCAGCAGAAGGAGCACGGGGAGATCAACGAAAGGGGGAGAAGGGGCAGGCCTGAAAATGAACAAATTTGGGTCGGCGCGTCTATGTACATGGGCCACACCGGGTATTTAATCTGCACGAATGGTTCCTGCCTCGCTCAGAACATGGCGCTACTCGGCCTTGCTCGCCAGCTTCTTCGCCTTTCGTGCCTCCTCGTCGAGGTGCTGTTGCTGATAGTGCGCAATGACCTTGTCCAGGTTGACATAATGTCCGGCGGGGACGTTGTATGGAGAGCCGTGTTGGAAAGTCCTGTCACGTGGTCAGCACGGTGCACCAATTACAGACTTGGGTCCAAGCGAGGGGAGACGAGACGACCCGGAGCACAACTCCTGCACCCAAACTCCGGTCCCGTCTCAATTGAGCCTGGCCTTTAGCTCTTGAGATGCTGGCATCTCTACGCCGAGCGAGACTTGATGGCAATCGAGACGGAACCGTAGTTGAGGCTGCCAGGGTTGTTGCGCAGCGTTCCGTAACGCTCTCCGGCCACATCCAACAAGGGGCCAGCTGGGGACCTCTCGGGAGATGTCTCTTCGGTGTCGTCTTCCGTTTTCATCCCAGAGGGAGGGGGGCAGGGGTTTGTAGAGCACGTACTCGGGGTAGGTGAGCTCAATATGCGGGTTCTTCTTGACGGTTTGGAAGAGGAGCCTGTCCTGGGCAGCTTGCTCGATAGCGGCCGTGGTGTTGTGGTTCTTCTGCTCCCACTCCTTGCTCAGGTCGGCGGCCTTCTCCAACCACTTGCCAATCGTTGTGAGCTCGCCATCCTTGGCAGGGCGCGAGATTTGGTAGACAAAGACCGAGACGGGGATGGCCGCGAACGCCAGGTAGAATCCGGGCTAGACAGGCCAATTAGCATCCATGTGCCACCTCTGCTCGCCAGCTCCAAGCTCGCAGGCATCCTCTCCCCGCGCAGGCAGCATACCCCAAAGGACTCCTCCACTGTGTGCTCGTGGTGGCCGTGGCTTCCCGAGGCGTAGGATCTCGTGTTGCGCACGCCGGTCGTCCGAGTTCGGCGGACGACGCAAGCGGCTCCTTGCCTAAGAGCCGACATCTCGAGCAGAGGGCTTTCGCTTGGTCAATGGCGGGCGACAAAGGGTCGAGGTTCGATGGGTGCAAGAGCTCGCCGCTCCTCCTCGCTCGACAATGCTCGCACCAAGCTTCTGCTACCTTGGTGGAATTGCCGACAGAGAGGTCGAAGACAACAGTCGACCTTTGGAGGTGGTTGTCGCAGCGGCTCGGTCGAGAGGACTGCGCGCGAGTGGGTGGGCGTCTGTCAATTGTTGAGGGACAAATCGGCGTGGAGCTTGCGATCACGATGCCGTGAAGCCAGAGCTTGGCGATTGAGCTGTCCCGCGCACGTGACTTGCGTCAGCGTTCCTAGCAAGCGCGCTAACGTTAGTCTCTTCCAAGCTTCGCGGCAAGTGGACCAATCAAGGTATGCCCAGTAAAGTCGATGTCAAGTGCCGCAGGCCGCTGTGGTTGATGATTTTCAGGGGCGAAGTCCGCTAGAATCGCCAACCTGTCCTTTCTTCGGGCTTCTTTCTTGACTCACTATAACAACCAAGGATAGTTCAGGACATGGTGTTCCCCAAAACTACAAACCCTTTGGCGTATTAATCCGGCATTTTCCTCCTTCCAACCATTTGCATCCGCCTTCGTTGGAACATCTTTAAACCTGTCGACATTTCCACTCACTGGCAGTTCAGCCACTCAGCCGTACCTTGATAGCAGCCGCCTTCCTCCTCACTCCTTGCGTTCAGCACAAGCCCAGCCAAATGGCCAAATTACGACTAAGGGCACTTCCTCTCACTCTTTTGGCATTAATCGGGGTAGCAGCCTCAGGAGTTGCCGCCTCATCCCCTTCACCGAGGGAATCAGCGGTCTCGCCCTCACCCGCACCCTCAGATGAAAACGAACTCGTATGTCATACCGACAACCCGGCAGAATGCTATCCCAAGGTTTTCCAGCCTACCGACGAGTTTCAACTCGTCCACGAAGATCAAGACCTTCCCAAAGGCCTCCATGTCCGCCTCGATGTCCAAACCGGCCGCAAAATGGCCAAGATCAACATTCCCGATGAGGTCAATCCGGCTCTTGAGGGTCTCCCGGTGGATAAGGCCGTAGTCATCGTCGACCCCGAAGAGGCTGAAGAGAAGCCCGGGCCCCCCAAAATCCCGGCCAACGCCCCAGGATACGAACCAGTCGGGAAAATCAAGGAGCCCAAGAATCCAAACAGCGAAGAGGGCAGCGCTTTTTATCGCTCCCTCTCCATCCTTAAGAAGGGTCTGAACATTGACGAGGCGCTTGAGATGCTTGAAGACATTTCCCACGACATATACTACGGCCTCAAAATCACCGAGGACTTGGACACCGTCCGCCAGCTCTTCTGCCTCGCCAACACCCCGGCCATCTTCGAATCCGCCGACGACACCGAGACCGTCCTCAGCCGTGCGCGTGTCGCCGCTCTAACCATCGGGTCCGCCGTGCAAAACAACCCCAAGGCCCTAGCCGAGATTGAGAGGCACTGGGCCACCCTCGAAAAGGAGAAGTGCTCCGGATCTGAGGAGACGCTCGGCACGGCAGCCTTCCGGCTCGTTCCCCCCGCTTCATCCGTGGCCAAGAAGAATGACCCCTCACTGGCCAAGGTGCGGATCTCAGCCATCAGCGGGCTGCTCAAAAACGACGCCATCCGGAAGCAATTCCTCGGCAACGGGGGGATGGAGCTCCTTCTCGAAGTTCTGGTCGGGAGCGAGGATCCAGACTGGGAGCCTGCGCAAAAGAAGGTTGGCTACCTGATCCTGGACAACTTCCTCGACGAGGACATGGGCGCCGCGCTGGGGGAGTGGCCAAGGGGAGGCCAGGCGAAGGACGCAGAGTGTGAAGCCAAGTCTGAGGTTCACAAGGACTGCTGGGACTGGCACGCACAGAAGCTCGCCAAGAGGTTCAAGTCGGAGAAGGGGCATTGGAGCGCCGAGTTGTTGAAGAAGCTCAAGGAGCAGAGGAAGGCGAATGGCGCCAGCGGTGCCAAGAGGAAAGGGAGGAAGGATGAGTTGTAGATTATGTGTAAAGCATGGTGTGGTAATACATATACCCTTTCTTGGTCTCAATCTGACGATGCCATCTTGTGTGTGGCACTCGTATTATTCCAACATACCCACTTTGACTTTTACTACCAAAGGTCATGGCGGCAGGCTTGCAAAATCTGTGGGCTAGCCCGTCTCAACAACGCAGAAGCTTTAGCCTCTGAAGCCCATGTCTATCGTCGTGCAAGTCACCTCAGTGGCTCTGTTCAAGGCCGCTGGGAGAGCATTCAGGGCATTTACGGTCTCTAAGTGAAGACAAATCTAGCGGAATAAGCTAGTAGAACGTCAGCTCGTGGCTTGCTCGGTTCGCATCACTCACCAAGTCCAGCTCGCCTGTTGAGATGTGTGTCAACCACCTCCGCAACATTAACAATCGGGTTTAGCTCAGCTGGGAGAGCGTCAGACCGACGTTTTCACTGCATTCAAATCAAGTAATTGATATCTAAAGGTCATGTGTTCAATCCACATAACCCGCAAGCATTTCTTTTTGCGTTGCCTTGCTCCCCTCCCTTTCGTTTGGGGCAAGTTGCTGAGGAGGAGGAGCACCCACGTGCCTGCCCCAAGATGTGACATGAATGCTCGAGTGATTCCGGCGAGTTCTTCTACGCTACCTGCAGAAGAATAAAGTCTTGACGTCAAAGGTTGGGCCTTCCTGCCCAAGGAGGTTATCTCTGGGCAGTTGAGGGGTAGGGTTGGCGTCGAATCCTTGAATCACCACTTTCGTGGATCATGTTACTCCAATTTACAGTTGTCTCTACCTAATGAACAGGCGCTCCCCATCCATTCAACTCGTTGAACATTTTGAGCAATGGTGTCTCACCCAGCTCGAACCTGCGACGAATCACCATCTGACGAGTCAATATATCTCGCCACAAGGAAGGAGGGGGGTGGGGGGAAAGTGCGCAAACACGAGCCATGTTGAGATAACTATATCTCTACCAGACGGCGGTTCTTGGCGTGCCTTTGGAGACCGGGATGATCAAGCCACCGACCGCCAAACGATGATAGGCGGCAGCACACGACAAATATCTACTGCATGTCTCGATCAGATTTAAGCTCGGCTCCTCGACATCATCGGCAACGGCTTCGTTCCACCCAATGCCACACGGGACTTCCCATTCCATACAGAGGGAAATCGGGTAGCGCGATACAGGGGCCATCGGACATTGCTCTATTTCTAGCTCTGCATGCCGTGGTGCAGGCAAATCTAAACGCTAACAGTCGAGTCGGGTGGAGGTAGGTACGTCCCTTGGACTGCGGGAGGCGTAAGGAACCCCCCACAGGAGTTTGCGTGAAAACAGCCTCAAAGACCTGCTACTAGCAGCATGAACTGGACGAAATGCACATGGTCCGTCTCGACACTGTCAAAGCCCAGATGACCACTCGCGAAACCAGAGGAAAAAAACAACAATGCTGTTGAGTTCAGACAAAATGCTCTACTTTTCCCCCGAATAACTCCCCGAAAGGTACTGCTGGACTCCGAACCAGTGAAATAACGCGATGGCTTCCAACTTGGCTGCCGTCTCCACAAACTGAGCTGTTTGCCGCTCATTGCCACCATCATGAAAAAGTCTCTCACCGTAACCGCCGTCGTTGCTATTAGTGTCGTCCCCAAAACTTTCGCAACCCTAAGTTGGTCCACGCGTCCCATATGTCTAGTATAAGTCCTGATCAAGCCGCTAGCGATCGCCAGATCTGACACCCGTATTGCCGAAACCACTGAGGTTCCAACCAGAATACTTGGATGTCGGGCCACCTGATACCACACTCGGGGGTGGAATAGGGGGGAGACCGTGGTTGCCGGCAGGCTCTTTCTTGATCGGCGGCGGAGGAAGCTGGCTGGCCTTCTCCTCCTGCTGCGCATTCGATGCAGCAGCATCGGAGGACGAAGTAAGATCCTTGGTAAGAAGCCCCTTATCCTGAAGGTACTTGAGAGTTTGAACAATTGTTAAGTCCTCCTGCTCTTTGTCGTTCAAGGTGAGACGCTGCTGGAGAGTCATGCGGCCGCCGTTCATCTCTCGCGCCTTCAAGGCTTCCTCGCGCACCACAGGATCGTGAACAAAGCGGCACTTACCCCGCTTACCACAGGTTCCTCCAGTCGAGTAATACTTGCAGTGCTTCTTTGGATCAGCTTTTTTGGGCGGCGGAGGCAGAAAGCTCGGCTCTTGCTTGGTTGACAGGACCTCGGGCTTCTCGTCATCCGACTTGGACTCGCTAGAGGGAGACGAGCTCATGTCTGTGTCGCGCATGTCATCTCCTTCATCTTGCTGCTCGCGTTTGCGCTTGATGTTGGACTCAACCTTCTCAAGCTGCTTCCGAAGCTTCTCGGCCTTTTGCTCGAGCTTCTCAGCTTTCTCGTCAAGAGTGGCACTGCGACCCTCTGCAGCCTTGGCATCGCCATTTTGACCCTTGGTCATGACGGCAGCCGCCTTCTTTGCCTCGATCCGGGCCTTGGTCGGGAAGTTCGCGCGACGCTCCGCGATCCAAGCTGCGATATCTGTCGGTCTGAAACTGGGTTAACGACTTGTCAGGTGCAAGCAGTAGCAACTGACTCACTTGGGCGCATCAGCGCCGTACATTTCCTCCAGCTCTTCTTCATTCTCCTCGTAGTCATCCGACTCGTCGCCAGGTGTCAAGCCCAGGGTGTTGGTTTTTCTCTTCTTCTTTTTCCCAGTCGAGGCAGCATCAGGCTTCTGATGGTGAGTTGGGGGTGTTTGTGCTGTCGGGCCTTTATTGCGGTTGCGCGACTTGTCGCCACCGAACTGACCGCGAGGTCTCGAGTTATTGTGATGACCGCCGCGGTTGTGCCGAGGGTTGTGGCCGCCATGGTGATCATACGAAGCAGGTGTGGGCATATATGGGGCCGGAGGCGGATAAGCTTGGTATGGAGCGGAATAAGGACCGGGCGAGCCTTGATGACCACCGTAGGGCTGGGCCGGATAGGGACTGCTCACTGGAGCAGGAGGCGATTGTTGACCATTGCTGTCAAAGCCGATCCGAATCGGCGGCCCCATCATCTGGCCCTTGTGACCGCCTCGATCGTTGTAACCTCGACCGCCACGATTTCCGTGTCCGTAACTGTTCTGATTATGGGGCTGGGTATGGGCTCCCCACTGCTGCGCGGAAGATCCGGGCTGGGGAGCAGGCGCAGGGTATGCGGCGCCGTAGTGCGGTTGTGCGGTGGGATACGCTGGCTGTGCGGTGTATGGCTGCGGCTGTGGTTGTTGGTGATACAGCTGAGGAGCATAGTTCGGGTGGTAGTTGGAGGCAGGAAGCGGAGTGTGGGCAGGTGGCGGCTGGGCATGTTGCGGGGCATGCTCGGGGTGCCAGGTCTGTTGGGGCTGCTGCGACGCCGGGTAGGCCGTCTGGGGAGCATGAGCGCCGGAATAGGGGGCGGGGTTCTGCTGGCCGTACGGAGCGGGCGGCTGGTTATACCCGTAGGCTGGAGCGGGCTGGTGATATCCACCGCGGTCGGGTCCTCCTCGCCCACGTCCGCTGTGACCGCCTCGATGGGGCCCCTGCTGGTACGGCTGGTTATTGTACTGAGCATAACCGGCCTGGCCATTCGTCGGGGCGGCAGGCGGAGGGGCCGGCGGGGGCGGCCCGTAGTTGTATGCCATGGGCTTGAATGTCTCTGGGTGGACTGGAGTGACGATTAGGGAGAACAGCTGGAGAACTTCCAGAAGGAAATATTGATGGAAAGTCGCGACCCGACGCGCGCAAGACTGCTGCCAGCGTTCACTTGAATGGCTAACTACTGGCAGGACCGATCAAGAAATACTTCCAGCCTTCGATTGCGGGTGATTAAGAGTCCTGGTTGAGAGCAAGCGGTGGGCTGTTGGGAGGAAGAAGGGGGATGAACGGGAAGCAGGTTGAAGAAGGTTTCGTCCTGTCCGAGCATTAAGTAGGTTCATGGCGTTAAGCCGTATATAGGTTGAGCTGGTGTATTCGGCTTGGCGGCTCTATGCAGAAAACGGTGCAAACGGCCAGGGACCGTGATATCGGACGGAGAATACGTGAACGAAAAAATAAAAACGAACTTTCCGACGGAGAGGGTAATTACAGACGGCAAACACGTGAATGGCAGGAAGACCCAGCTTCGTCCCTCGTGGAAAGTTCAAAAATGGGACGGAAATCGCTGAGGGGACGGAGACACGAAAACGGAAGGCGGTGGGTGACTTGACCGGCAGAATCGAAGGCATGAAGTCAGGGTCATCGCGGGGCATCACACTGAGCTTCCTCGTGCAAATTGCAAGCTTCGGTCTTCATAGAAACTCAGGAGAACAGAAACTTCAAAAATTCCATCGTCAATTTTCTTCATACAATGTGACTCGCATGCATCCTTTCTGACCGATTAAGCACCAAGTGAAGGTTTTTTCTGCGCATCCCCAATTGACCCAAACCGTAATAAACCTTTGCCTTCAAAGTTCTTCCCCTCACTTCCCATCCTCACCAGCTTGCAAAATTGCTCCGCAGACAGTCGCGATGTTTATCCTTGTAAGTCCAACGCATATCAACACAAGCCCGGGCTTTCTAACCGGTGTTTCCATATACTTAGACAAAAATCGCCGACCTTGTGCAGATTTCCCCTCAGGATTTCGGCAAAGAAAGTATCGTTGCACTTGAGGACAATCTAAATGCCAAGTACGCAAACAAGGTGGGTGATGCATCACACTCGATGTACTCAACCCATTGACTCATTGCTTACAGGTCATCCAAAACATTGGCCTGTGTGTTTGTCTGTGGGACATCACCTGGACGTCCGAAGGCCTGATCGGACAAGGTGATGGGTTTGTCAACGTCAACGGTGAGCCAGACGAGTCCTCAACATCATGGTGTCCCACTGACTGTCGTCTCAGTGGAGTGCCACATGGTGGTGTTTCGTCCTTTTAAGGGAGAAGTGATTGTAGCACGCATTGCGCGCCAATCGCGAGAGGGGATCAATCGTATGTTGCGTCCTATCCAAGGTGGCATTCCCCATTCACTGAACGATGCTTTAGTTGCTACCGACTTCTTTCACGACATTTTCGTCCCGTGGTCCGAGCTGCCCGACGGGTCAGAATTGTATGTCTCACAACCCTACACCAGCTTTTTCCGGCTCCTGTCACTAATCTTTCCAATCTAGCGAGGCGAAGGAGGGCCTGTGGGTGTGGAAAGAGGAGGACCAGGAGCTCTTTTACGACAATAACGAAATGGTCCGCCTCCAAGTGCTCTTTGAGGAGTGGCACGATCAGGCGCCGTCGGGTCCACTTGACTTGGCCGACCAGCCCGCAAGCGAACTGCTTCCGCCGTACAAAATTATCGGGACCATGAAGGCGCCCGGGCTCGGCTGCGCATTGTGGTGGGAAGAGTGAGGGAGGCGAGCAGGTGACGATGGCGGTCCAACAACAATGCTGAATCCCAGTATGAGACCAACGGGTCATACAGGATGTGTATACATGCAAAGCCCTATCCTCTATACATTGATACCCTCTAG